GTAATGTTGTGATAATGCGCTATACAAAAATAAATTTGTTGTTGTTGTTGTATAACAGAAAGAATATTGCAATTTTGATTTATCCCATAGACTACAGAGAATCCAACCACACCCAACTGGGTAAGTCCTAAATATCCCCTGGTCATCATTCTAGTCTGACAAACAACACTTCAGTGTTAAAAAGTTAAAATTTTAGCTCACTAGGTATGTTTTTAAGGGTTTCAGATCTAAAAATCAAAACTGGTGGACAGCAGTTAATGTTGGCTTCTGCTTAATTTTTAGTGGTTTATCAGTTTAGCGTTATCCAGTTAAACTTTGGAGTTAGCAGATTAGCGGTAATGGAAGCTAACGTTCCGGTTAGCTGTGTCCGCCATGGCATGTGAGACAGTGTTAATGGATACGACAGCGGCGCGCACAGCCTCACCGTCAGCGCCCTCCCCTCGATGCGGAGCAGCTGCTCCCCGTCGTGCAGGAGGCCAGTTAGCCGCTGGACCTCACTGCAGCTGGCTGCTAAATGGCCTGGGGAGGCAGAGAGGGGGGCTAGGGGTCAGCGTGGGGCAGCGAGGGTGGTGGGGGCGGGGCGGGGAGCAGACTTTTCCATAACATAGTGTCACTCACAGGGAGGGCTACTGCACCTCCGGCGTCCCTCGGGTTTGTCCTGGGGGGGGCAGCCTTCGCTGTCCTCGCCGTCGGAGGTCACGCACTGCACGGTCCGCTCACTGACCCCCTCGCCACAGGTCACAGAGCACTGGGGGGGGGGGACACTGGCTCATAAACACGCACGTCCCACACCCCCCTCAGGATGACACGCTCCATATTCTGCTGGGTAACAATAAGCCCTTTCCCGGCAAACTGGAAACCACTAAATTAACTGGGAAATATGATGAGGCCGCAATACCCAATGACCGTGACTTCCTAACGGTGCCATGAAGGAAACAGACCAGCCTCCCCGCCCTGCAAGGCAGAGCTTTAACCCCAACGTCTGTCTGTGCACCTTTGATGTGGACCAGGAGTTTTGCAAACCACAGCAAGGAGGGTTTTAAGCTTTATACACATAACAATGCAAGTATGATTCCGTACAACAGAATGTCATGTAGCTGAGGCACTTAGGAAGCCCACACACAGCTTCTTACATCTCCTTTCAAATTCAAGAACAATGTGCCTTGTTTTTCTGCAGACAGAGGGACCATCTTTGCGGTTTGTGTCCTTCATATGATCGCTTATGTAGTCTGATTTTACAGGTTACTCACCGGTCCCCAGATCCCGGCCCTCCAGGCCTGAGGATGAGGACAGGGGGGCAGGCTGCACACCAGCACGCTTTCCGGCGGCGTCCCGGGGCAGCTGAATGACGACTGGTACCCGTATTCATAATGATCCTTCCCAGAATGCACTTCACTGCAAGACACCAGTCTTCTCCGGTAGCCCTGTCCACAGGTTACCGAGCACTGGTACGAAGGCAATCGTGATGGTGAGAGAGCGGTTAGCATCCTGGTACTAGGATGTTAAGGCCAACATGGGTGTGAATTTAAATCGGCGGATCACAGATGACCTGATCTGCCCCAGGCTCACAAATGCTACGCGGTGATCAGGTCAAACCACTGAAACGCCCAGTGTGTGGAATTTCAAACACGTAACAGCTGACTGACAAACGCTGCAGCATGTTAAGTGACCTAAACGACTTTAACGATCAATCGAAACTCACTGAGGGTGAGCACTTATTAGGGCACGGCAAAGACAAACATGGCTGCTTTGACGATCTGACTCTGTGTTCATAAACACAGGAATGTGTGGGTCAAAGATTAGCTCTGAGGAATGTACATGCTTCATAAAATGGTGGCCTTATAGGCTTCCTGGGGAGCTCTTGGCTACTTTGACTTAAATACAAACCTCCTACTGAGAGCTGGCAGTGTGTCCTGACTTGACGAACCATCAGGGCCAATCAGCTGCACTGCTCTGTGATTTCACTGTTATATTTGATGGTAATTGCGTCTGCTGAAGCCCGATGAAGCTTCTCTTCGCTCTCACACCGCCATGTCTATCTGCCTTGAAAGTGCTCTCCGCTCCCAGTGTGCCGGCCTGGATTTCTATGTGGGTGTCCGGCCTCTTCAACGCTTGTGTTTGATGGGTGGGGGCGGGTCTCACCTCTGACCATTCCCCAGTGATCCACAGGAAGTCACATGGCTGGAGATTGCAGCTCTCCGTGTCGGCCGGCCTCGTTAGCTCTGCGCAGAGCGCATCATGCACCTGCTCCCCGTTCCGATTCAGGCACAACGGCTCCCGCAGTCGGTGCCCCGACCCACAGCTCTGGCTGCACTGCAACACAAGCAGACACCAAGGCCGGTAAGCGGGTGCATGAGCGCCGCCGGCGCGAGGAGAGGCTGCGCGAATCCCCAAGGCCGTCTGGGACCGTGTCCCACGTGGCGAGGGAGAATTAAGTACTTCTGTCAAAGCAAGGGTCTAAGCAGACTGGAGCCCGTGGGTGAGATTTATCGAACATTTTAGTTCAAAACAACGTAAGGCAGTAAGGCAGAGAGTACACAAGCACGCAGATGTCAAGGAGCCAGGAAGGTGGAATCTCTCCTCCACTGAGCTTCATCCAAACGCCTAGTGACGTTTGGTTACCATGGGGGCGAGAGCTATAGAAGACATTACAAATCCCTGTGAGAGGACAGCTATTCCCATGAAAAACGGCATGATGACTAGGTTACTAGTGCAAGAAATGTAACGCGAAAAGGGGTGGCTCACAGCTGCCCGTGATCAGGAGGTCGCTAGTTCAAATCTCACGGCTGGATTTGTGATTTCACCGTGGTGTCACTGTGCCCTTAACCCCAGTTACCCCAGGGTCTGACACTGCTCTCTCAAATGTATGTCGCTTTGAATAAAAGTGTCTGCTAAATGCATAAATGTGCAAAAATATAAGCGCATTCCGTGTGAAGCAGACGGAGTGATTGAAGCATTTTCCTCTACAGGGCAAAACTCAAGGCTCTTATGTAACCTGTAACCGGTCACCAGTCAGACAGTGACAGAGGGATGGTCGGTTATTACCGGGGAAGAAACTCTACCAGTATATAAGTTTATGCTCTCTTGTCGCTATAATCCAGCAATGGCTGCTTTTGTAAATGAAGATGACAATGGGTTACATTGGTAAATGTATTACACACGTCCGCGGCATCAACCCCCAGGTCACCGTGAATCACCAGTGGCCAATTCCCCATAGTGTCTGAACTCCTGGTCCTGAGTGCCGTATACACAACTATGCGTCATGAATGCGAGGGGATACGGAGACCGCCTCAGGCGTCCCAAATGCATACCAGCCGGACCGCGTCCTGGTCTATGTTCAACCTTGTCAAACAAGTCGTGCCCCCCCTAAATGTGACAGAGAGGGGCGTGCCATATAAAGGCTGTTTTCAAATTCAAAATTCACAGGCACAAAGTCAAATGTTTAGAATTCCTTTTGAAGCCGGCAATACAATTATAGGCGTCTTACCATGTTTTCTAAGAAAATGCAAATACTTCTAGGCCCCAAGGGTTCTGAACAGACTCTGTGTTCCCTTCTGTGACCTGGCAGCAACTTACAGTGTTTTATTCTTGCTGATTGATCTTATCCACAGACAAGCAAACCCTGCCCTTATTTATCAGTCTCTGTCCTCATGCCCTGTCAGGCAGGTAAATTCTGAGGCTCCTATTCTCATGTTTGCATGTTGCTTTTGAGATTCACTAACAGTGCAAGGAGGTACACTGTCCTACAAAGATTAGGTTGTTTATTTCTCTCAAAGCAAACCAAATAAACCTTTGTGCATATTTGGGAAAAACATGAAGTTAAAAAGAAACACAGACAGACAGAAACACAGTTAGACAGACAGGCACACAGACAGACAGAAACACAGTCAGACAGACAGGCACAGAGACAGACAGACACACAGATAGACAGACAGGTAGACAAACAGAAACACAGACAGACACACAGACAGATAGACAGAAACACAGACAGACAGACAGGCAGACAGACAGACAGAAACCCAGATAGACAGAAACACAGATAGACAGACAGGCAGACAAACAGAAACACAGACAGACAGACAGACAGAAACACAGACAGACAGACACACATAGAGACAGAAACACAGTCAGACAGGCACACAGACAGTCAGAAACACAGACAGACAGAAACACAGATAGACAGACAGGCAGACAAACAGAAACACAGACAGACAGGCAGACAGACAGAAACACAGATAGACAGACAGGCAGACAAACAGAAACACAGACAGACAGACAGAAACACAGACAGACAGACACACAGACAGTCAGAAACACAGTCAGACACACAGTCAGACAGACACACAGACAGTCAGAAACACAGTCAGACAGACAGACAGTCAGAAACACAGACAGACACACAGACAGACAGGCAGACAGGCACACGTGTTCCACATACAATGGCGGCTAATTACCATCCAAGGATGTTGTACCTATTTGTGAGAATCACGTCACATGCCCTGAGTACAGTTCAGAGAGGGCGAGGAGCCCCCCAGCCCTCTGCGGGGCAACACCCCCCACCCAGCGTCCAAGAGCAGAGTAAGCGCTCATAATGGGCTCCAGATGCGAAAGCCGGCGGGGGGGGTCACAGTCTCCAAGTGGGGATTTCACCTAATTATGCTCCTTTGCTACGTGTAGAAATTTCATGCTGCTTCCTGACCTACCTAGGTTTGAATTCTCTCAATTTATATATATATATATAGACTTTATTTGAAAGAGGGGGTGCAGGCTGTGCTATGGATCTGCCAGGCAAAGGGGCCGCCCCCATAGCCGAGTCAGGGACAGACACCGTCTTTAAACAGGGGCCATAACAGATTAGTGCTCTTAAGAAAGAATCCTGCTGATTCAGAAGGCGCGAGCGGCGATGTTATGCCGGCCGGCACGCAATTACAGCAATTACATGAACCTGGACCTGACAGACCAGGAGACAGTTCACCCCCCAGTCCAGCTTCCAGCTCCTTTGGTCAGGTCGCTTCTGGCAGACTCTCTCTCTCTCTCTGTCTCCAGGCTCCTGGAGGGGATTGGTGCTCACCTCTGTCCAGTCTCCCTCCGTCCAGCGGTAGGTCTCCGGGCACTCGGCGACCTGGCAGGTCTGGCTGGACGGTGGCCGGGCGGACAGTGGGCACTCTGAGTGTTCGGCGCTGCCCTCCTCTGCAATGTCGCAGACGACTTCCCGCGTCTGCACCCCTCTGCCGCACGAGGAGGAACACTGTGGGGAGACGGGGATGTCGAAGGCGTAAGTGACAGCCGGGGATGTCGAAGGCGTAAGTGACAGCCGGGACAGTGACAGGTCAGCTGCTTCAGCAGAATGAGTCCTCAGCACGCCGGACTTCCAGCTTAATACACAGACCGGATGATACTGATATTTCTCATTGTTCAATATATGATATATGAAGGAAATAGACATATAGATGTGCTCACGACAGTTACTGGAAATATTAAATGAAGATTAAGGTGATGCACAGGGCAACTTCTTGCTAAATGTTGCTGGGTAATTGCCAACCAGGTGAGACAAACGGCAAAATCATCTGGATGATTGCAAAATGTTGCCCACTGCCGAGCAAAGTTTTTCAAATAGAAATCTGTTGCCCAATATCAATGGGAAAGTGCCTGAGCAGCACTGGTCAGCAGCACTGCCCGGCAAAACTGGTCAGCACCACTGCCCGGCAATACTGGTCAGCAGCACTGCCCGGCAACACTGGTCAGCAGCACTGCCCGGCAACACTGGTCAGCAGCACTGCCCGGCAACACTGGTCAGCAGCACTGCCCGGCAAAACTGGTCAGCAGCACTGCCCGGCAACACTGCTCAATAAGGAGGAAGGTACCATCACTGTATACGCAATTCTAACCGTCTGTTAACAAGCCACTTTCCGCTGCAACTTTTTCAACTTTATGCAATATTTTACCTTAAAAGAATTGACTTTAATAACTGTATTCTTTTAGTTGTTCAAATTTCTGCAGTGCACAACAGATGTAACATCTAGGATATTATTAACAATTATTAACAAAAATAACAAAAAATTATTAACAAAAACTAAAACTGTTTATCTTGTGAGCAGGAAATTCATATTTTCATGTTCAGTGAACAAGTAACGCAAACTAGTTTTTATGAATAATATAGCAACAGCCTTATTTTCTTGTTTGACATGTCAGCAGTGGTTGATCCTGTTGATGGGCGTAATGCTTCGTTCTGTTTCATGACATGAAAAATCGCGTTTGATTTCTAAACAATGAGCCGTAACCTCTCAGTCTCTTCTGCATGATTCACATCAGGATCTAAACTTACCGAATGTTACAGCTCACAGGAAGTTCACCTCTGGCTCACCAGTAGTCAAAATCTTGTTTGAACAATGCAATGATAGTGATGAAAGGAATGATTTTAAGGTGAGATGGGAGAGATGCTTGTAAGCCCAGTTTCTGCTTTTCTGAGTATCGATTTTGTGTATCCGTTCATTGCTTTCGTCACTGACCAGACCTGTAATCCTGAGGGTTAAAGTCTGCGTTTGGGTTAAGGTCTGCGCAGAAACTGTGCAATAGGGGCTTTACACTGTCCCTGGACTTACAGACGCCCCAACTGTCCCTCACATTGTTCCTCTAGATGGAGGTGGTAGATACACGCTCTGGGAGTTACAGTCGCACAATATCAGACATTTTATCAACACAGAAAGTTACTCTTTCTGGGAGTTAGCTTTTACACCGATGCAGAGTTTCACGTTTGACCTGGAAACGTGGTGTCCGCTACAATCACTGTGCAGCACATTAGATTGTTTTTCTACTTTCATGTCTATATAGCATTTCAGATTGTTTTCATATTTTCATACATGAAATACCAAGCAGTGCTCCCATTAAGTAATTTTCCATGTTTCAGTAGAGCTAGTAACCGATGCAGTGTCCGTAACAGTTGTGTGCCCCCCCCCTTTCAGCAGGCGGAATCCCAGTAGGGCGCCCTGGCTCCTTTCCCCGGCTAATAACCACGACGTGCCTGTGGGGGGGTGGTGAGCACGGCCCTCGCCCACCCAGCCGCCCAAACGGCTCTGCGCCAAGGGGGCAGCGGGGGCCCCAGGAGGAAGGAGTAAACGCATCCAGATGCACGCGCCGCCGCGTCCCAGGGATCTACCGTGGGAATTAGAGTGAAAAGCTCTGCGGGAAGAGCCTGTTCAAGGGCATGTTCCCAGTTCCCATCTCCCAGTGAAAGAAGATCCAGGTATCTGCTGGAATGATCCGGAAAAAAAGTATTCTTCTTCTTCATTATTAATATCACCATCTTCTAACATGTCCTGGCCAGAGCCAGAGTTATCATCATCATCATCATCATTCATTTATTACTATTATTATTATTATTATTATTATTATTATTATTATTACATAAGGGCTGTTTTTCAGTTTTTTTCTCCAAGTCTCCTTTACCAAGTCTATAAACATGAGCCAAATCTCCACTTTGCTAATGTAATCTGACTGCATAACAATGTAACAGCACACACACAGACACACAGACACAGACAGACACACACACACACACGCACATGTAGGGTAAACATATCCTTATGGGGACCGCTCATTCATTTCAATGGGGAAAAATGCTAACGCTAACTATGACAACCTTAACCCCTACCCTGCCCTAAACATAACCATAAGTAACCTAACAAAATACAAGAGTTTTTGCATTTTTAGTTTTTT